CATTCCCCCGGAGGAGCTGGAGGAAGTGTCTGGAGAGAGGGAAGTCTGGGCATCTTTGCTTAGACTGCTGCCCCCGCGACCCAGTCCCCGATAAGCAGAGGAAAATGGATGGATGGATGGATACTTGTTATATCAGCGTCCTTCTCTTTCGTCTGCTGCATATGTTTGCCTGTATGTTTGAGGTAGTCACGGAAGGAAGGTGTGAACGCCTTACATTTTTCCTTCAGTACCGGCAATAAAACATTGAAATAGATACTGCTTCACCCAAGTCTCTATTGTCAAGAAATGTGGTGAATTGTGGCTAAAATGGAGACAGACTGTAGTAAACCAGGATTATATTTAATGTATGCGATAAAAGATTTTTAACATCTAATTGATAAAACAGGAGCTGGACACCAATGTGCACAACATCCAGACTGAGTAGTGACACTTTGGGGTTGAGAAAGGGCTGAACTTTCAAGCACAGAGCCAAAAAAGCCACTTCATAGAATAAAAAAAAAAGGATTTACTTACTCTAGCAGGATAGAGGAGAGGGCCAGAGTCCCTGGGATGAGCCTGGGGGATGTAGGGTCCTCCTGAGAAGGCTCCTGAGGAGGTGGGGGGATTTCAGTTAAGCTTTAGAACCGCATTTCTTAAGACATAGATTTGAGAGACAACACTTGATCTTGAAGAAATGTCTAGCACAAAAGAAGGGAGATGGATAGGAGCGGTCGTGACAAAAATAAATAAATAAATAAATAAATAAAAAAAAGAGAAAAGGACGGCTAAGGCTAGATACCTCGATGCCAACCAGAAGAGCGAAAGGTTTGTGCCAGTCCTTTGCCGCCACGTGCCATACCTCTCACGGATCCTCTGGTGTGATACGACTGGCCAGGCCGACCCATGCTTCCACCTGACTGGCACGGGGCTGGGAAGATCTGCCCACCATTACTCACCATATAAGCTGACTGGTACACTACAGAAATTAAGCAACAAAAAAATGTTTAGACACAGTCGCCTCACAAGGCTGAGTTTAGGAAGACATATTGGATCAACATACCCGGCTGTGATTCATCTTCTAAGGGAGCAAACTCGGGTGGTGTTTGGGTACTGGCAGTGCTGTACATGTGCTCAGGGAAAACTGCAGACCCTTGTTTGAACTTCTCTTCCCCATTCTGAGATAAAGAGGCATTCATCTTGAAGATCTACAGAGAGAAGAAAATTGATAGAGTACAGTAGCTTGCAGAAACTGTGCAAGGCCCTTTTACAATCTGGTTTGAAATTTAGTTATTACAGTATCCATTTAGCATTCCCCTAAATTAGCACTTGTCTGTCTTGTGTTTTAGGGAAGGTTGTGATGCTGCAACTGTAGTAACAAGTTAACTAGGCAATCCTTAGAGATTATGCATTACATCTGGTGGTCACCACTATATGTGGCACAAACAGGAACTGCTTCTTCTGGATATCTCAAGCTGCTAAAAATGCATTCTTGATCAGGCCTCGTCAACGCGTGCAAGTGAACTACGTTAGCATCATATCGTAATGTTAGAAAAACGATTAGAATTTAACAATTTTATGTTTTGTGTTAATAAATTACAATAAATGTCTAAATCTGTTTATTTCATTTATTTATTATCGGGGCTATATTTTCCATTTTGGAAAATTTGCTGCAAAGTAGACAGACCAGATATAATGATAGGCATCATGCCTCTATTACCAGGATTCCGGCAGCTGCAAAAAAAATCACCAAAAATGCTTCATGTATCAAATGTGATACAAAAAAATTAAAATAAACAAAATAATATGGCACTGTCTATGCATATATGGCAAATAAAAATCTTGAATCTAGAATTTTCTTTTGGATTTTGTTAAAAGGTTTAATAAACATCTCGGTTCCAAAAAATTTGAATGATCTGGCTATTTTTGATGTGTCAGGCTTTACAGGGTTAAGTAAAAAACATAAATAAAAAAATAAAACCCACCAGCTGCCTTGAAGGAGGGTCAATATACTGCCAGTCTCTGTATAAATGGGGCTAAAGTCTTTCTGCAGAACATTTTTGCCAAATGAATGCCAAAAACTGACATATCAGAATGAATGTAAAAAACAATGGTGTTATATGTACTGAAAAATAGAGGTGACTTGATCTCAAAATGAAATGCAAGCCGGTAAGAGGAATGACCTGTCAATCAACAATCAGTGTTTGGACAAACATTTAACTGGCAGTGATGCCAAGCTAATCAAACAGCTGATTGGATTTTTTTTTTTTTTTTTAAAGATTTTTGTTAATCCCATATATGGCATTTCACAGTTTTGGCATCTTCAGTACTGCTTAGCAATGAAGAAAAGAGTAAAAATAAAGGAACTGGTAGTGCACTTAAATCCCTACATCAGTAGGTCCTGATCTTGTGTGATCTATTAATGTGACCGCATGCAGTTCAGACTTGTGCCATGTTGAAGGCAATACATAACTCCTACTGGGTCTAACCTGACAAGACTGCTGTTGCAATTTTAGTGGGCGAGTGACCAGGGTGCTCATTCAGACATGAAGCAGATGTGTTCAGATACCATCAGATTAATGCAAAGGAGTGCATGCGTTTCCAGATACATGTTGGGTAGTACTAGGTGTGAATGTGGTCTAAAAGAGGGAGAACTACAGTAATTAGTGACCGACTGCTATAGTAAGAATCAAACCTACAAACTTTTTGGCCATAATAACATCAAACCCAAATGAGAATACTGTATAGTTTGTGTAAGACTTATTGACTGGATGTTCTGAAACTGTGCAGAAGTAAGTTTTCTCCTGGTAGGGGGTGTAGAGAAAGTCTGTCCCTGACTGGGGGTGGAGGTGCAAGATGCCACCCCATTACATGAGTACTGCTTCCCTGATTCAGTCGCCGGTGTCTGCAAAAGACATGTTAAATGTACACTTCATATATAAAAAATAAATAAGGAAAATCAACATTCCACAGTGGCCAGTGGTTTGTCAGACTTGACCAAGAATGCTCATTTCCATACATGAGGATGGCTCTCGTCCTCTAGATTGACAGAGATGGTTGACTCCCTGCAGTACAATGGCGGGGAGGAAAACGCCTTTCTTTCAGCCAACTGAATCGCCTCCTGCAGAGATGAGACCACATTAATATCTACTTAAGAGTTGTATGGTTTAATAGTATGTTGCACGTCACAGTCAAATATGCTGCTTCTTACATGATGTAGATCCGTGGAGGAAAGCTCTGGATCACAGTCATCCAAGCACTGATCCACACTGGTCAGACTGACTTTACGCTCCATAAGACTGGTAGACAGTGGGGTGGACTGAACAAGGGATGAGGATGAAATGGTGAGTAATCTAAAGTGATTTCCTTTTAAGCCAAGACTGACTTTTTTTTTTTATGAGATAAAACAGCTTACATGCATTGCTTTGTTCAGGACCTCAACAGGGCTTCCAAAGTCTGTCTGAGCTGGTTAGTTGAGGGAGATAAAGAAATTACATTTCAAAATCTGACAACTTTTTGAAGATAAAATAAACAAGACTACAGACGCATCACATGTAATATAAAAACAATAAGAAAACCCTAAATTCTCTACAGTGTTAAAGATCACAAGTGAAAAGCATGGAGGGCTTTAAAAGAAATCTTTAAGGTCAACTCTACAGACAGCCTGTGTGATCTGGTTCATCAAGGTAAGATTAAGGCACACAACCTCTGAAAAGGGGTCAACATGCTTCACTACACACGGCCTGCAACCATCAATGTGTTCATACTCGCTGTACAAGGCCTATGGGAACTGCTACTGCACTTTGGCACTGTAGAGGGAATGACATTTTGGATGCTGAGGAGCCATTGTGTTTGTGGGATTTGCTGTATACCAGGGAACTACGATAGTGACCCGTTCATTCTCTAAAGCAGACATGGAGAGAAGGAGAGTTCATTAAAGTCATGAAACTGAGTCACCTCAAAGACAATGAGATGCACTTCAAGTACTTTCATATATCTGCAGATTGGTTTGGTCATTTACTGTATCGGATGAAGCCTTTTAATCATGGCAAGCACAAACAGTATGCTTGTTTAGAAGAAGCACTAAGGTCACATACTAGAGGTTGGAAGCCTAGGTTACCAACAGGTCCTTGGTGAGTTCAGGCACAAATTCATTTATGTTCAGATTTGGTCAGGTAGGTCACACTTTAGGGTAAATATGCCTAAATGTGCTTGTAAATATTCTGAACTAAATGAATCCATGCTTCTGCTTCAGTTTAAAATAAAAATTATGAGCATATAGTGGCCAAGAGAAAAAAAACAAAACAAAAAACACCCATTACCAGTATGCACCAGACCTATGATGCGAATGCAGAGAGGTTTTGATTGCATGCAGGATGTTTGCAGCACCCTCTGCAATAAGCATGCTGCAGGAATAACAAGATGTACTTAAGGGGGTGGGGTGGGGTTTAAGGGAACTTCAGTCATTAGAACCAGAGCAATCATGTCCAGTTTAGCTGGACCCATTCTAAACAGGTCCATCTTTCCTGTTCTGACATGGCTGGAGGCATTAAGTGACTCAAAGATGAACTTATTAAATTTTGGTGGTCAAAGGTCAAGGTCAGTGTGACCTCACGTCGTCCCATTCCCATGAACTTGACTGGTTGGCAGGAATAGGACAGAAACACTGCAAGGTGGCAATTCTGTTGGTTTTTTTTAGGTTTTGAAAATTACATTGTTACATCCATGTTTGCGCTGTTAAACAAAGTTCCTTTTTGAGCCTTGAACAGTTTGGCAAAAAAAAAAAAAAAAAAATCCCAACTATCATTCCACAGTTGCTACTTATTCTTTTGTCACAGAGATACATCTTGGTCAACATTTCCATGATAAAGTAGCTAACTTTATTTACTGATGAAGGCCATGGGATATCGAGCTACAGAAAAAGCAGACCTTAAATTGGGATTGTTTTGCTAAATTACAGTGTCTTCCAAGTTACCCAGAGGAGAGGGAGATCCAGACAGTCTCCTCTTCAGTCCATTAGGTGGGGAGCCCTCACCATCCAGAAGAGAATCCTAAATAGGACAGGATTATTTTAAAAACACCTCTAACAGTCATTACAAGGTGTTAAATAAAGGTTTGCCAAATAATATGTTCATGGTTTGCCCACAGCCAAAATTCCACCTGCATGAAGCTGAAGGAGCCATGGATCTTTGTCATGAGGTCCTCCAGGTGCTGCTTCCTAAGGATAGGGTCTTTTGGTAAGCCAGATGAAGAGTTGAAAACCTCCTCAGGCATGTCCATGTGAACTACCTTTTAGGAATCACAAGATGATAAGCTTGCAAACTGTTTACGGTAAAGAGGTCTGCACACATTTTAAACCATCCATTTTGTACTCACCGACTTGGCATTTTGTTCTCCTTTGGCTTTTCTCTTTTTTCTCTGGGGAGAAAATCAAAATTATCGTTTGGACACCTCTGCTGAACAACCACGTCCTGTACCATGACCTTACAAAGCACATTAGCTCACAATTTAAAAAAAAAAAAAAAGGACCTCCTGTTTTTCTCCTCCAGAGTTCACACTGGAGAATTACTTAACAGTACCACCCTGTGGTCCTCCCATTCAGGGAAACACCTGAATCAGCTGCAGTGAGAAAACAGATCTTCATTTGTGGTGATTCTGAAAAAAGGACCAAAAACCAGCAATAGAGTTACCAGTATTTTCCAGGAACCACCAAAATCTATTCCTCTTTTCTCAGGAAAATACCCCCCCAGATGCAGCCCTTCTCCAAATTTCACTGGCCTCACTCAGCTTCAATTAAAGTGCATGTCAATCCATCAAAAAGGCAAAAGAATCCCGTTGTCAAGAAACCTTTGTAAATTTCTAACATAACCACTTTATGCAGCTTTTAATATTAAAAAGCTTCTAAACTGTATTAATGTACATCTAAAGTAGTGTCAAAGTATTCAGACCCCTTTGCAAACTGGATGAAAATTGTCTGAACTGCCATCTTCAGGCCTCTCCATAGAAGTTCTGTGGAGTTTAGGTCTGGGCTTTAGCAGGGCCACTGAGGGACAGTCATGCTTGTCATCAAGCAGCTCCAATTTTGTTTTAGTTGTATGCTTCAGGCCACTGTCGTAGTGAAAGGTGAACCATCACCTCAGTCTCAGGTTGCTGCGCTCTGGAGCAAATTTTCTTCAAGGATCTCTCTGGTCAGAATGGACGAATGCAGCCAAATACTGCCTCCCTGCTGCCGAGAACCATGACACTGAGCAGTACCGGGTGTCCTTTAGACAGTGTTTGCAGTTTTGCCCAAAGGATTTATTTTTTCCCTTTTTTTTTATATCTTTCATTGATGTTTGACAAACTCCAAGCAGGCCGTCCTTCCAGCAGGTTCTCCAAGTCTGCACAGGACTTCTGAAAATCTCTTAGAGTAAATGTTGGGTTCTTCGTCACCTTGTAGACAAAGACCCTTCTTGCTCAGTTAGGCCAAAACTCTTCAATTTCATGGCATGGTTTTTGTTCCAACAAGCAGAGTGAAAGCTTTAAAATTAAATTTTTTTGAATTTATTGAGTCTAGAGCACAGAAGAGTTTCTGATCTGAAGTTCAGTAAAACTTTCTCTGTTGCATAGTGTAGATGCACAAATTTTAACCAACTATTCCTTTACAATTTTAGGCACATACTGTACATTTTCCTAAGAATTCTGCTTCCAGAAGCCATGAGGTGTTTTTCTTTCTTGAAATCAATATCTGTGGAACCCTCCCAAACAGCTTTAATCCCAGTGTTGTCTCAATTCAGCTCCATGAATCCAGCCTGTCAGAGCATGTTGGGATGCACCCCATGGAGAGTGAAAGCAGCCTGACAAAACACATGGTTAGATATGCACAATAAAAAGAGCACAATTGTTTGCTATTGGTTGCATTTAATAAGTGTTGATCTGCAGCATTTGTTTGTGAAATGTGAGGCATTTGGCCAGTGCTCTTCCCAGCCAAAAATCCTTCAAATAACCAAATAAAGATGAGAACATCACTGCTCATTTTAAGCAGTAACATGCTAAAGTAATCAAACATTTCTTCATTTTTATGAAGATTCTGCCTCAGAAATTGCATGTTTAATGCTTTGTAGTTACTGAGCCCCAACCTTTTCCAATGTGGATCAGTCATTGAAAATCTGGACTCCGCCTCTGCACGTCTTTCCCATCTGCTTATCTGTAGCTGTATAACACATCTCAGCCCAAACAAAGTCTCCAAATTAATTTTTTTTTTTAATGGATAAATCCGCTACCAGCTGCTTACCAATCTACACTCAATAACCAATGACAAAACATACAAACAGTGAAGGGCTCTGAATACTTAATGAAGCCACTGTGATTACATATAGTTTTGTTGCAAGTTGTGTATTACAGTTGTGGCCAATATAAGATTGTGAACGGGAAACTTTACAGCAGAAAAACAGCTGTGATTGTGCACTTGGTTGGACAAACAAAAAGATTCTGAATGATCTTAAACAAGCAATTTCTTGTAAATGGCTGATTCATTACTTGGACTCTGTTAGACAGTAACTGGCCAGTTGATAGGTGACAAAGTAGCATTGTTTTAAAGATTGAAAAATGAAAGTTCATAGTAATTTTAAAATAACTGTTAATGTACTTGCTTAACCATTTTAAATTTGATTCAGAGCAGACGAATGTTAACATCCCTTTTTTTTTATGGATTCCTCTTGTCACACCTCTTGCCATTTGGGATGGTGTTTAGTAGTCAAAGCTGTGTTCTTATCCTGAAGGAAAATTGTCCTGTACTATTCTGTGAATATTTGTACTCTACCTGCAAACAACAGGAGTCACCAAAGTCATGAATTTCCAAATCCTACACACAGTGGCTTGTTTAATTCACTGTGGAGGCCAAAATCATGAATGTATTAAAGTGCATATCGTGTGTGATGTAGGTCACTGCATGATCAGGCACACTATCCAGAGGATTTGATGAGATCTCACCTGTTTGAGGTCAGACTGTTTCTTTGTTGTGACTGGGACTTTGGGGATGAAAGTAGCAGCTCCTTTCCAAGATTTGTGGACTGCAGTCTGGGGTGAGGTGGGTCCAGCTGCTAAGTCCATATCCCAGTAGTCAGGAGGCTCCTTCTCCGTTATGGCATGGAAGTCCTCCTTCCAGCTCTGAGTGGAAGGATTCTCCATGTCAGTCAGGTACAGTCTGTTGAAAGACTGCCATATCACCAACAGAGTATCAGTGGATCCTGGAGCATGCTTATGGTCTCACAAACAGACCTTTGGAAAAAGTGGATGTTGATCTTACCTCCTTAGAAACTTTGCTTGGGTTTGACTTGGATGTGGCTGACAGGGAAAAAAAAAAAAGTATAAATATGAATCTGCAATAACCAATTCCAGGCTATACAGTACAGGCTCACAGATTCAGTCAGTTAAAGCTAAGATTTGCAGGCTTTTTATGCAAGCATGATCTTACTGATGTGGCTGTTTGAGTTCAAGAACACCTCTGGAGTCTTGTTTGGCTTTGGTGGAGGTAGATAACTGAAGTACTTGCAGTTTAACAGCATGGTGAGCTCTTCTTTCAACAACTTAACTGAAAAGACAATTACACAGAAAACTATTTTTTTAAAACCCAGTTTTTCTATACACAACTACACTAGTTTGACTTTGGAGCTTGATAACAGACCTTTTCACATAAACCAGAAAGAGAGCCAATGGGCAAAGCCATTTCTGGTTGGAGCTGGCTGAAGTGGCGACACGGTCAAAATGAATAACCAGCAGACATTAGCTTAATGTAGCCAGACTGTCAATAATTTGAAAAAGTCTGCTTTCCAGCATTTCTAAATGTGGTTAATCAACACATTAACTGAGCACTGGTTTGCTCAGTCCATGCACAGATAAAATATATACTGTACTTGGAATCATAGAGCATTTAATTACAGCATTTGATGGAAGTTTCATTTATAGACTAAATGTGTCCGTTTAAAGCAGGAGCAACATTTCTTCACTAAATTATGTTAGGGTTGAGTCAGTTAAGTACATGGCATCTATGCAGGGGCACCGTAAAGGGCACCAACATTTATATTTTGGTCCAAGTCAGACTGGTCCATGCAAACACCCCTGTGTTCAGGCTGTTTTATTCCTTCCGGCAAAACAAGCTTGTGGTCATCCAAAGACAACCACAATCAGCAGCTCAAACTGCCATCTTCCTATCATGATGATTACCAAGATTATTTGAAAAAGTACATACATACAGAAAAGTACACAGAAACAAGCACAGACATCTCTATATGGTTGAAAACTCACATGTAGCCCCTGCCACTGGCTTGTCTTTCCCCTCCAGCAGGTCCAAGTAGACCACAGCAGCCTGCTCCATTTGCTCTGCTAAACTACAAAACACAGTGAACAGAAGACAGATGTCTCCATGGAGCCAACAAGAAAAAGCTCTGTGCTCTAAAGTCAACCGCTGAGGCTTTTTATACCTGTAAACCTGTGTAGAATGTATGTATAATGTTTTTATCTCATTAACTGGTATGCATTCATTAAGAACCTGGAGTCTTTACATATTGTGCAAAGATGTGATAAACTGCCATCACATTTTCAATATAAATTTCTGCCATGCTATTTTTAAGATGTTAGTTTAGAATCTGCACTGTAACATTTGTTTTTGTTTTAAGGCATGTTCACATTCTCATTAAACAGCTTTCATGCACGCCTCCTCACTTTGTAAGTGACTGTGTCCCAAGTTCAAATCTGTTGGTCCTTGAGCTCAGCTGCGCTGACCTTAATGGGTACAGTCAGTTGGCCAAAACCGGCTCTTTTACCTGTTGCCATAGTGAATTGTAGTATCAGCGCTTCACTGATGGCAGCTTATTGTAGTCACCACGCACAAGCTTAACCCTGAATTAATCAACTCGGTTAATTTAAATAACCAACTCTGGACAGTTGTTCTGGAACTGAAAACTCAGTTTTTCATTTAAGGGTTAATGCAAGAGTTTAAAAACTTTCTGGAATACCACTAAGAACACAAATTAACTAAAACCAACAACATGCAAGTTTAAACCACTGCTGTTATCCGAATAAGTAGTTTGATAGACTTTCTTCTAAGACCCGCAACAGGCAGAAATACTGAATTCTTACAGTTCAGATGCATTTAAAATACTACACTACCAATTTTCTGAATAACCACTACATGGGTTTACACTTGTTGATTAGTTTTATACAGGCATGACAATATGTTCAAAAGGGTTTGTGCCACTAATGCCACTCACCTCAGTCTATTATCCCTCTTGACTCCAAGCAAGGTGGCGAGCTGACTCAGGCTGTGCAGCTGCTGGGCTGGGACATGGGGCGCCTGGTTGTGTCCAGCTAACAGGTCACTCCTAACATGCTCCTGTTGCAGGCTGTGGAGGAGGTGCTGCACCTGGAGCACCATGCTTAGACGCTTCCGCTCCTGCTCCAACTTTTCCACCTGCTCCTTCTTCATGGCCTTCTTCTGGGCTGTCAGTAACTGCAGGAACAGCAAGACTCAATGAGCAGTTGGAAAACATGGCACCACATTATCAGGATAAAGACCTATGACATTCAGCACAGGGGTTTAGGTATGGTGCAGGTGTGTACTCAATGCGGTAGGCCTGTTTTGTGTATGCAACACTTTTTTTTTTGTCCCCCAAAGTGGCCCTGATCCTCTTTGGTGCCATCTCTATCCCACTACTCAGATTTGTTTTGGTTTTTTTGTTTAAAAAAATAAATAAATAAGTAAAAATCCCTGAAGCCCAAGGTGATGTTTTCATATTGCTTGCACTGTCTGACAACTTGTTTGCCATCACATATGCCACAGCAAAAAGGAAGAAATTCTGACATTTAAGAACACACGTTGCATCAGCACTTGGCATCTCTGCTTAAAAGTGCCTAACAATCAATTCATTTGTCAAAAAAGCTGCTAGTTCGTTTTGTTTAAGCCCCAAGTTTGTGGCTGCAAGTGATGAATCAGCATAGACCCAAAACAGATGCAAAAAAAGGGTTTAAAACACTGCATTCCAAAAAACCAGAATACCTGATTTCATATGTTCCACTGATCAGGTCTTTGTCAGCCATAAAATGTTTGAGGTCACCATCTACTCATTCCCAGCTATACCTGATATACCACTACAGCATAAATATTCTGACTAAGCAGGACACATACAGACCAAACTGGCAGATCATACAACACTTACATTCTGAGTCAAGCCATCCAGGGTTTTATGTAGCTCTCGTGCAAAATCCAGGTTATGTAGCACCTCCTCATACCTCTCCACAGCTGCCTGGAAAATAAAGACAGATTAAAAAAAGAAAATAAAACCAAGTACAGGCCTGAAATACCCAACATTAACACCCATGAGACCATATCCTTTGTTGCCATTATAGCCAAGTCCCACAGTACCATCTGGTCCTTGTTTAGTGCCTCGCCCCGGTTCAGCCTCTTCTTGTATTCTTCCAGTTTCAGCTGTGGACATACAAGATGCGTCATGAAACCCATGCCGCCAGCTTTCCAGCTTTCAAACCTCATAGTCACTATCTTACTTTCTTTTTCTCCAAGTTCCGGACTTTGTGTTTGAGGCAGATGATACCATCTTCTACGTAGGTTTCATAGCCATGATAGATGGTGGAGATCTCCAGGTTGAGCTGCAGGGCATCTGGTCCACTGGGCAAGCCCATCTTTGAGCTACCAGCAGTCATAGTGTCCTTCTGTCTTCCGTCACCTTCTGAGCACTCAGGTGGGGGGGCGACTTCCAGAACTGGCGAGGGAGACAGTTGCACCATGTTGAGCTCCACACTGGAAGGGGACACATTGTAGTTGTCAAAAAATGCAAATAGTGAACCATGCTGTCTCTCTCTGTGTGTGTGTGTGTGTGTGTGTGTGTGCCATGTATGCGGAGAAAAGATGCTGCTGGTGCCAAGCTGACTTTCAACGGAGATGGAGATGGCCTCGGCGGAGCCTGGCTTGGGCAGCTGCCAACCCCGTGACACTGCATTTATAGTGGCCACTGACCAGCACGCTCTGCATGAATCACAAACACCACGCAAGTAAAGAGGCTTTTGATTAAAAGCGTGTGTGATGCATCCTTATCCGCGAGTTCTTTCCCCAAAGGTAGGGTGGGGATTTGTAAAATGAGAAGTTAAGAATTAAAAGGTGATATATATGAGAAATTAAAGCTTTGGCACGGGAAGAATCATGTTGCACCAAGCCCTGTTACAAGACGAGACAGGCGTTTATGGCAGCAGAATCCAAACTTTCGCTCCTCAGTTTAGCTTTTTGAAGTTTAATCGCCACATAGGTTAGTATTTTATCAAAAACACCACGCGGACAAAGACAAGCGACCCACCTTGTGTCTTTGGCTCGTGAGCGTCAAATATTCACAGGAGAGTCGCCGGACATCCGAACGCCCCAGACAAACGGACCCGTTCCAAGCGTGATGTATCGCTCGTAGAGGCCAAGCCGCTGTCAGCTCCTACGTTTATATACTCCACCGGTCACACACATGCTCCACCGGGAGCGAAATGATACACCATGACCACATCCGGTCCACCTGTCGCTGTGCACACACACGCACGCGCAAACGCGTTCCCAACTAAAGAAAATCCTTACCTTACCTTTATTAATATTCCAACAATGATTTTATGTTGGTAAGAGGTCAGTAGTGACGTTTTTACTATAATATCACAGTATCACTTCCCATTTGGCTCTGTTTCAGTCTCCATCATTTTCTGAGAGATAGTTGGTTCATTAGATGCTAAATGCTCCACAATTTTCACCAGCTACTGGCTACATTTATACATAAGCTTTTGGTGCTGGGTATGTAGCAGCTGCTAAAGCTGTCTGATACAGCTGAAGATGGGCCCGATAAACCATAACAATGAATTGAAAGGCGTTAAAAAGCTCCATGGAGCTGTAGAGTTATAGGTGATAATTCTCTGTCAGTTTTTTGAGTGACACCTTTCACAGTAAACATCATTTGATTCTTTGTTAATATAAACATTTTTAATAGTGCAGCTTTAAGGCTACAATATTTAATTAAAGGTAGTGCTAGCATGAAACTCCAAATCAGTTGACCGCTACAGTCTGCTACATTCCATCACACTCTGCCCAGCTTTTGAGATATTTGTCATTATGAAATTACAAGAAATGAGAATGCAACCAAACTTACTGACCAAGCAGAACTAATTGAAAATGTGATTGGTTAGAGAGGTCAATCCCACTCAAAAACTCTCTACACCGCTGCCAGTGCTGTTCAATGAGTCACAGGAGGCTTCGGCAGCACATATTTACATTGAGACAAATTTTGGAGCATATTTCGACACCAAAAATATTTGAAAAAATGTATGTACTGTAGCCTTGAGTAAAGAGTCAATGGTCAGCCAAAAGCAAAAGAATCCAATAGTGATGGCCCAATAGTAGCAAAAATCTTGAGATAAATCTTTCTTTATCTTGAGAAGATGAAGAAATTAAAACATTTAAATACACGCTGTACCTGCCTATTACATCTAATCAGTTATTGTGTCTCCAAACATGAGTTAGGTACACATCTACTCTCATATGGGGGCATTTGTAATCGCCTATCATGGATATTAGTATACTGCTCACAAAAGCACACACAATTAATGTTTTTAACTCTGTTTTACCTTATTCACCTCTCTTATTTTGATTCTCCTTCTGACATGTTTTGTTCTGCTGTGACCTCAGGTGGTGGAGAACTGCTACAACATCCTGTACAACATCCATTCTGCACTTCCATCACTATCTGGTTTGATTCTGCAACCAAACAGGAGAGGAATAGACTCCAACAGACAGTTTGAACTGCAGAAAGAAACACTGGTGCCCGCCTACTCTCCATGGAGATCCTGTACACTTCATGGGTCAAAAGGAGGGCAGAAGGTTTCTGCAGATCCCACACACCCTGAAAACAAAATGTTAGAACTCCAGCCCTCTGGATGGCGCTACAGATGACTGTACACCGAAACAAACAGACACAGGGACAGTTTCTTCTCTGGTGCCACCACTTTGATGAACACTTAATCCATGACTGTATAACAGGACACAGCAATCACCCCAGTACAATAACTTGTAACTAGAGAATTGCATTTTCTGAAGAAAATGTGTATGGATGCTGAGTGTTGAAAGATCACCCTGAAAATGCTGAACATTTTGACACCTGAATGGTTTTGCTAGCTGAAAGTAAGCTGAAGTAGAATTTTCCCATTCATTTGAATGGGGCAAGATTTTCAAAATAAAGCTAAATATTTCAAGAGTATGAAGTTTAGAACACTTCTGAATAGAAGCATGAATGTCCTTGAAGAGCTGAACATTTTAATACTTGAAATAGCTGAACGTATGCAGAAGTAAAATTTCCATTGATTTGAATCGGACAAGATTTTCAAAATAAAGCTAAATATTTTTTAAAAATGAAGTTTAGAAAACTTCTGAAGAGAAGCATGAATGTCCTTGAAGAGCTGAACATTATGATAGCTGAAAGAGCTGAAATTATGCTGAATTAGAATTTTCCCATTCATTTGAATGGGGAAAAACTTTCAAAATAAAGCTAAATATTTTAAAAGTATGAAGTTTAGAAAACGTCTGAATAGAAGCATGAATGTCCATGGAGAGCTGAACATTTTGATAGCTGAAATAGCTGAAAGTAGGCTGAAGTAGAATTTCTCCTTTCATTTAAATGGGCAAAATTTTGCTTGAAAAACACTAAATAGTTTAAAAAGTATAAAGGTTATAAAAAAGAAAAATAATAGCATAAATGTCCTTAAAAAGCTCAACATTTTGATACCTGAACAGTTTAAATAGTAACAATTGAATTTGAGCGTTTATATGAGCTTATATGTGTGTATGCTCCTACTAGATTTTTTTCTTAATAGTATAGAAGGAAAGAAAAGGAATGTTCGTTTTTGAAATTGTACTGACACAACTATGTGGGCATTAGAGATTTAACAAATGTAGGCAGTACAAACCCTTAACTATGTTAATTGAGATATAAAGGAAGTGTAAACGGCAGTTAAATAGCTTTTGGGGTTGGGCTTGTGGACGTATTACAGCACAATTACACAAGGACAGGGTTTGCTAGTTATGGTATTAGTGACGTTACCCATGGAGCAGTTAATGCAAAATCAATGTGGAATTTCACATAGAGAGTTTATGGCTGCTCATTTTTTTCATTTGCAGCAATTAAGTTTGATTTTCTGTACCTGTAGAAAAACTCGTCACCTGTTATGACTTTAAATTGTAAAATCATTTCAGAATAATAAAACTAGAGAGGCATTTTGTGAAACTGAGATGATAGTTAATGACTTTTGCTGCTGTTACCATGCTGCACGGCAACAGAATAATGAATCGGAATTGCATTGCGTGATATGAATTTAAAGAAAATGCAGTGAAAAGTAATTATTTAAAGTAAGGTGTTAAGGGATGTTAAATATTTTGCCCTTTTTTAATGAAAAGTAATTAACCCATTTCTCTTTTTGACTTCCCTATCTCTACAGCTTCACTAATCATCATCTTAGACTTCATAAACCTTTTTCTAAGAGAAGCATCTTTTTGGTGAGTCTACTTTTACACTAACTGTAAGTAAATTTTTGCTGGGGTAGCTGTAATCATGTCCTCGACTCCTCGTCATTTGTGTTGTTTTCTGTATAACAGTAATAAGTTGTAGTTTGTTTCTATTATAGTTTTAGCAAACAGTGAACAGTAAAAAAAATATCTTAAACAAATTGGCAATGATCGCACCTGCCATCTGGGTCCAGCCTGTTCGCTGACTCGCCTCTGCGAGTGCTCACCATAACACAGGTGGTCATAATGTTATACCTGATCAGTGTATATTGATTATTAATCTGTTCTTTAATGAAAAGTGAAAACCTAAACTCTCTATTTTCTTTCTTCATGTCTTAGTTGCATATCATGACTGTCTGTGATTCCACGCTGCCTCTGAACAGTATGTAAAAATAAAATATGACTTTGTGATGTTAATGTATTATTTGTTTTAAGTGTTGAATGCCTTCTCAGCATAGTACGCTTTTTAAATGGGAATTACATAGGCCTTCATCAATTTATTTAAATAAATTATTGTTTTCAGTATTCCATTGTGAAAAACAAAATTGACGTGAGCTTCTAGTATATCTGTGAAGAAATTAAACTAATTTTCTCTCTTCCCACTCCTTCTGGTCTACTCCCTCCTGTCTCTGAGTCTAGTCGGCCAGTGTGCTGACACCGTGGTCATACGACAGCAAGTTCCCATACTGTATATGAATGAAGACTTGGTAAATGCACACTTACTGAAATCATTAGTAAATTATTTCAATTTTGACATTATTCAGACCACAGCTGGAAATGCAGTGTTAATCGGGTTTGTGGTTATTGTTTTATCTGTTTAGGTGAAGACTTTAAATCAGAATCTGCTTTATTGGCCACGTGTGTCGGACACATGAGGAATTTGACTCTGGTACATCGGCTGTCAATGTGCATGTTAATATCCCCATGCAATGAGTAAGTAAACAGTAAACCAACATAAGGCTGTGTAATATAACAAAATAAGCAGTATTAGCAGCAACAAACTGCGCAAACAATGCAAAATAAGTAGCATAAACAGGCAGTAAACAATGCAGAGACAAAGGAGTGCTCATTGTGATACGAGAAATAGGAATAAAAATACTTATAGAGACCTGTATATACACACAGTCTAGATGCATTTTACGGATCTACGTATATATATGCGGTATATTTACAGGTATTGCACTGAGGATTACTGAGCAGTCATACCATTGTGGGTTAAGTGTTCATCAGAATGATGGCCTGGGGGAAGAAACTGTCCCTGTGCCTGGTTGTCTTGGCACACAGTGACCTGTAACACCGTCCAGAGGGGAGGAGTTTGAACAGATTGTGTCCCAGATGTGAGGGGTCTGCAGTGATCCTCTCCACCCTCCGTTCTGAAGTCCACTGTTTTGAGCGTGTTCAGCTCTAGGTTGTTGTGGCTACACCACAGGACCAGTTGCGCAACCTCCCATCTGTAGACTGACACATCATCTTTTTGGATGAGACCAATGACCATTGTATCATCAGCAAACTTAAGGAGCTTAACAGAGGGGTCCTTTGAGATGCAGTTGTTGGTGTAGAGTGAAAACAGCAGAGGGGCGAGCACACATCCTTGGGGGCGCCTGTGCTTATTGTCTGGGTGCTGGATGTGGTTTTCTCCAGCCTCACCTGCTGCTTCCCGTCTGTCAGAAAGCTAGTAATCCACTGACAGGTGGGGGCAGGCACAGTGAGCTGGGTCACTTTGGAGTGGAGGATGTCTGGGATGATGGTGCTGAACGCCAAGCTCAAGTCCATAAAGAGGGCCCATGTGTAGGTCCCTGGGGAGTCAAGGTGTTGCAGGATGTAATGCAGTGCCATGTTGACTGCGTTGTCCACTGACTTGTTTCCCCATCAGGCAAACTGCAGGGGGTCTACAATGTCCTTCAGCTGGGCCAACACCAGTCTTTCAAAGGA